GCCAGGTGAAGATGACCAAGAGTTGACCTTACATTGCTAACCAACATAGTCGATGAATCCAGAGCTAAGAGAGGTGCTCTTTGGTAGGAACTTCTAATAATCTCCCTTCTACCCCAGTAAAAACAGGGACACAAGGAAGTGAGTCATTGCTTTCCTCTCCACTCTCCTCTCAGAGATGAGCCCTCCCTTCCTCTTGAGAGTGCCTTCTAACCTTGCTATATTTTTACTACATTTCATGTCTTGCTTGAAATCTTCTCAGGTGAGAACACAGAGGTGAGAAACACAAGGCACCCTAACAGCTGTAACAACTAACTAAAAACAGACAGAAAACTTGGCATGTCTGCCTTCATTTTGTATCTGTCTCCCTTTTTACCTTAATCCTTGGGTCAGATTCCTGTTCAAGTTTGCATGTAGTCATGTTAATCATTTAGTGTATTAAGTCCCAACATTTCAGTTTTGAAAACACAATAAATATCCAACTATTGCTTCAAAGTTACCACAATTGGTATATTTATTTTTTAAGGTAGGTTTTTATAGGTGTTTCACATATGGACAATGGGAGAAAATGAGTTTAAGAGGCATCCATTGAAAGCTTGTAATTTTCCCCCTTCAAGGCCAAAGATGCCAAGATAGGAGTAGCTAAGGTATTTTCAAGGGTATAATAATTGACAGATTTTCAACTGCAAGCTTTTCAAACATCTTGTTCCAGAACCTTCAGTGTTACCTGGAATTCTCTAGCCATTGATAAAAATCTTTCAGGAAGAAAGAATCCTTGCAAATAGACTTCATGATGAGGCTCCTCCCCACAAATAGAATAAATCATTTCACGGGAATTGAATTGTCTCCACAATCAATTATACTTCTCTGAAGATATATTTCAGAACCAGAAATGAGTTAAAGATCAACCAGACCACAGTTTGACCAACTTTGCTGAATTATGCATTCCTCTTGACCTGTGTCCAATTCTTTCTCTTTAACTCAACAGCTATATCAGTGCCCTGAAGACAGGTCCAAGGACACTTGATCCTCCTTGTCTTCCCAATATAACTATATTGAATATATTCTGCCTTGTATCATTACTCTTTCCATTTTTTGGGGGGGGGATAAGTCTACTGGACTGGTTTGTTGGGACTCTGAAGTGTCAGATTTGCCTCTGGTCTGGGCATCTGGTGAGATAGTGATGTAAGAGATGCAGGTACCTTTAAGAGGTGGAGATTAGTGGGAGGTTCTTATTTCAATGGTAACACATTCTTGGAAAGGATGTGAAGGAAATTCTCATGGGACTCTGAGTTAGTCTTCATGGGAACCAGTTGTAAGTATGACCTTACTCTTGAATTGCTCTCTTGTCTGGCAATAAGATCTCTTGCTTCTGCACACCCTTTTGCCATTGTGATGTTTATGATGTCATCTGCTATGGGATCTTTACCAGAACTGAGCCAATGCCAGTACTATGCCCTTAAACCTGCAGAACTATAAGCTAAATAAACCTTTTTTTTTTTAAATCTAACCAGGTGTTTTATTATAGCAGTGTGAAACTAACTACTAGAGCTAGTTGAAACCACTAAATCCACCGCTAAATCCACTAAATTCATCACTTCTTTGGGAGAAGAGAAATCCCTCACAATATTCCATTAATATTTAAAATGACTAAACATGGGGTTAAATCATTTAAATGGAAGTGAAGTATTATAAGCTAAAGTTAAATTAGAAGAAAAGATAGAGTTTTATTTACATTTAATAAATTAGTGTTAAATTGATTATTTGAATGGATTAAATACATCACCTGTCTCTATATTGTTTGCTCCATAACTTTTTCATTTGTCTTACTGAAGATGCACAGATTATATCCTTGCTTTTGAGCTTCACCGTGACACTCTGGTCAACAGAACATTAGTAATGTAATACGAACACAGATGGGGAAAGTTCTTGTTTACTTCTGCTGCTGCTCTCCCTTCTCATCTCCATGGTCACGAGTTCATGACTGAGCTACCTGGCTGGAGTATGATGCCCTACTTTCTCCTAATGTTCATAGAATGAAAATGTTAAATTTTTTCCAACTTGAATATTGATCTAACATTAAATCAATTAAACAAACAGTTTTTCCAGTATAATTGTGTGATTATATAATTTCTGGTTGAGTGGTAACCGAATGCCAACTTTTCTAAAGCTTCATTATGTTGGACAAATGTTCTATTAAAAATTTTAGCGTTTTTAGGTACAGTTGATAAAGCCTGGGTGACAGCAGCAGGGATGACAGACAAGTTTACAGTATGAGCTCTGTGTACATAGAAACACAGAAAATAAGCAAGGAAGCACTTGAGTTTGTTCTATTTCCCATTCCTTAGTGTTAGCTTCAAGCAGATAATAATAACTAGCCCAGTGAAATGAAACTCAGTTTCAGCGATTTGAACTTTCTGTGGACGTACTCCAAGGCAAGAGGTAAAGTATTAACTTCTCATAACTTGTACTGGGCATTTATTCTTCAGCTCAGATTTAGGATCTTTCTCTGTGTGCTTCTGTATTCAACAGAGACCACATGCAGGTAGGCACCTTCTTCTCTCTTATCATACCAGCATAGGGGTTGATGGTTATCATGAGAATATTGAGTTGAGTCCTCAAAGCAAAAAGAAGAGTTTAATATAGAGAAATATAGGAGGAAGTTGGATGTGACTCTTGGGTCCCTAGTATTTAATAAGAAGTAGTTAATGGGAATATGAAAACATTGATTTAAGTACCTCATATTGTTAGCTTTCAGGCTGTTTGATCACATTCTGGTTGAATGTCAATGTCTTTTTTTTTGCATATCTGGATTTTTTTAATTTTATTTTTTAAATTGTAACACAATAAATCATAAATGTATATATTTATGGGGAACAAAAACTTATAATTTATGAATATAATATGGAATAATTAAACCAATGTGATTAACATATCAGTCATCTCAAATACTTAGAAGTTTCAGCTACCTCAGAACTCTGCATATATTCATATGGTACAGAAGAGAGAAATATGCATATTTTAAGATCATCTGTTTTACTCCTTGACAGCCTTTTAGGACTATCCCATTAGTCCCAGTACATGATTTTCAAGGTTCTTCTCAGCCACAATCCTGTTAAAGGTGGCCCTTGGCAGTGCTGTTAGGCTTCTCTCAGCCGAGTAGCTTCAAACCTGATGACTTCTTCATGAGAGTCCTGTCCTCCTACCTCATCACCAGACAACCCTCTGCAACTCTGCAACGAAGGTTTATAAAGATAACTCCCCTGAACAGGTGAACTAATTAGGCTCTCACTCTTCAGGGAACACTTTTGTTTCAGACATCAAATCAGAGCATGTACGTGTGTTTTTGTTTGCAAAATATGACTTTCTGTCATATGTATTTGCTTATCATTTGTGCCAGAGCAGGCAAGAGTAAACATTTTTCATCAAAATTATTTCCTGAGTAGTATTTCCTGCTTAGTAGTTCCATATCTTGACTATTTTGACTCATTCTGCAATGAACGTGGGAGAACAGGTATCTCTTTGACTTGCTATTTCATTTCCTTTGGATTTATTCTCAGGAGTGGGACTGCTGGATTGTATGGTGGTTCTATTTGTACCCTTTTGAGGAAACTCCATATTATTTTTTTTAGTAACTTTAGTACTTTGAATGCCTGTCAACAGTGTTTGAGGGCTCTTCACCAATACTTTTGTCTTTTTATCAATAACCACCTTAAGAGGTGTGAAGTGATATACCAAATAGTTTTCATTTTAATTTCTCTGATGATTGGCAATATTAAACATTCTAAAATATACCTGTATGTATAAGTAAAGAATATGATACACACACAAGTATTATTCTTCAATACAATACAAATACAATAATTTAATATTATTATTGTATTTGATAATTCAAATGAAACTAAAGGACATTATTCTATTTGAAATAAACCAGACATGGAAAGGTAAATACTGTATGATGTGACTTATATTTTCAAACTGTTTTAGTCAGCTTTTTTACTGTTGTGACTAAGAGACCTTAGAAGAGGAAAAGTTTATTTGGGGGCACATGGTTTCAGAGGTCTCAGTTGTTGGACAGCCAGCTTCATTCTTTGGGGCTTGAGGTAAGGCAGATCATCATGGCAGAAGAGTGTGGTGGATGGAAGCAACTCACCTGGTAATAAACAGCAGAAAGAGATTTCAGATATAGATACAAAATATATACCCCCAAAGCATGCCCCCAATAACTTCCTCCAGCCACACCCTACCTGTCATCAGTTATCACTCAATTAATCTCTACCAAAGGATTAATTCACTAATTGGGTTAAGATTTTTATAACCCAATCATCCCACCTGTGAATGTTCTTGTGTTGCCTCACACATGAGCTTTTTAGGGATACCACATACCTAAACCATAACAAACTAAAAATGTTGAACTTATTGAACCAAAATGGAGAATAGAGTTCACCAAGTGCTGGGGTGTGGTGGGTAAATGGGAAGATATTGGTTAAAGGATACAAATGCAGTTTTAAGGTGAACAAATTCTGGGAATTTGAGGCTAGGCATTATATGCTGATGGATGTGTTAATTAATTTGGCCATGATAGTTGTTATGCAATCATTACATTGTGTACCCTGAATTTGTACAATCTTTGCCAATTAATATCTTTATGTCCTGAGAGCTGTGCAGAATTCAATTCATTGTATTGTATGTTAACTATAATTTCTAAAAATGGTATAAATTCAACGGAATTGCCCATTTAGGGGAATTTCTTCTTTGGAATCTCTGTCATTATGAAATAGAACATGTTGTTCTCAGTGCAGTGAAAATAGTACACCTTGTTTATGAAATTTTTTAAGGAGATAGGGAAAATAATCTTGTTGTTTGAAAATTAATTTGTGAATGCTTCAATTTTCTAATTTAGGGAAACATTCTCTTAATCATTTAACTCAAGATTTTTTAAAATTATCATTTCTAACCTGAAAAATCTATTATTCTTCAGCTAATATTCACAGGTTTAAAACATGGACTTTGAAGAACTTCTAAAACATGTAGGCGACAATGGGAAGTTTCAGGTTTTGACAATTATCTTTTTCATGCTTTCAAGTATCCTGACAAGTCCTCATGATTACATTGAGAACTTTACAGCAGCCATGCCCGCTCACCACTGCCATGTCCACCTCCTGGGCAATCCCAAATTTGAAGCCAATGTCACCATAAACCTGACAGCTGAAGCTCTTCTGAGGGTCTCCATCCCTGTGGGCCCAAACCAGAAGCCTGAGCAATGTCATCGCTTTCGCCAGACCCAGTGGCAACTCTTAGATCCCAATGTGTCAGCTGTCAATTATACTGATCCTGAGACAGAGCCATGCCTGGATGGGTGGATATATGACCAAAGTGTTTTCACCTCTACCATCGTTATGGAGGTAATACATTAATAGGAGGTGATAGGGAGTGAATTGAGTGTGGAGGAATGACAGTTTTCAATTTGCATAAATTATCCAAAGATAGGAAAGGGGATGAGAAGCTTACACAAAGAGGTGTGCATGTGCGCATGCGCATGTGCATGTTCATATACACATGTGTATTTTCCCCAGACAGATGTGGTTTCAAAGTCAAGCGCAGTAGTATTATGCCTTTGATATATGCCTTATTGATATCCATTTTTATATTTCTAAAAGCAACATGGACCACCATTTTCGTATATTTAAAAGAGTGAATCTCAGAACTCAGATGGTCTAGGTAAAAATCTGAAATCTGTCACAGCTGTTTTCTGTCTTATTTTACTAATGTTTAATAGAAGATGATTTTACCACTTATTTTTTATTTTATTTTTTTAGAGAAATCCCAAGTTATTAGTGTTATCTTAGCATAATTATTAAAACACAATTTCCCACATAATATGTTGACTATTTCACACTAGGAAGGATGATAGGAACAATATGTATAAAATACTTGAAGCCAGGCACGGTAGCACACACCTATAACCCTTCCAGCTCCGTCCGGAGGCTGAGGCAGGAGGATCCGAAGTTCAAAAGCGAGGTGCAAAGCAACTCAGTGAGATCTTCTCTCTAAATAAAATACAAAATAGGGCTGGTTGAGTGCCCCTGAGTTCAATCCCTGGTACCCTGCTCCTCTCCCAAAATATTTGAAATCTGGTGCATAGGCAACTTCAACAAATTTAACTCTTAGTGTTCTAAATTGTTGTTTTATATATTTGAAATGGGCATCTGAAACATGACAAATACTGTACATTATATGCAAAGTATAACCAAAGCCCTCTTCAATGAAAGCAGAAATGAGAGAATATATGTTAAGAGAGGCTGTGTTCCTCTGCTATCATCACATACCTGATTAACGATACATAAGGAAACCATTCATTTCTGGATCACTTCAAGCCTTGGCTTATTTCACCTACATACTAAGGTCCTTCTAGTGTAAACTCAATTATTATTAAATGTTAACTCAGAAAAATGGGAAGTTCCTAATGAGTTGAGTAGAAATGTTTAGTTAGGTACTTTGCAATTAAAGGAAATGTACTGAATTCATAACCCATTTTATCAGAAGAATAGTACTCTGTATGACTGGGGAACTTAATGAAAATTAGGAATACAAACTTCAGATATTTGTGCTTTGTTCATCTGGTTTTCATGGTCATCTACTATTCTTGGTCTGGCTTCTCCTTTTAGATATTGAGATGCTGAATTAAGGATAAGTCTCAAGTCTTAACTTAAACAATCTTGTATATTTTATACACTTTGAAACTATCAATTAGTAGGATAGCCATATATTTGACATATTCTATTAAAATGTTTACTCCCATTATGTTTTTAAATAACAATTTTAAAATAAAACCATCTTCTTCTTTATGTTAATATGTTTTTTATAAAAGTTTTGCATTGATTTATAGAAAGCTTAAAAATGTTATGTTCTGGTAGACAATTATCATGGATAGAATAACTGCAGGTTTGGTATTCATCCATCAACATATTCTATATTAGCTTTATATTCTTATGTAATATTATATTCACTTCAAAAATTTAGCTTGATGTTGTTTCCCATAATTAGTTTAATATTTCAGTAGAAAATGAACAAATAATGTCTCAATATAACTCCTGTAAGCAATTTATTCTGTAAAGAGTAAAGAGATGAACTGTTGAGAAAGGTCAGTTATCCAAGGTTACAGAGTGAACCAGGGGACTGTGGTTCCAGTACTTTCTATACCCCTGTTCTGTGCTTAGGTTTATTCACTTCTAATAAGGTATGAGTTTGCATTTAATGAAGGCCTGAAGATCCTGGTTTAACCTTGGGGTATTATTGATTAACTTAACAAACATTAAGTATTCCGGTGTGACAGGACTTTTACACTGTTTTAAGTATCAACAGGCTAATGGGTCCTTCTACCCAATGCAGCATTCCATGTAACTTTGCTTCAAGATCCTTCATCTTATGGCCTCTTATTATATTCTAATTTTATGTAATTTCCACTCCTTATCACACTGCCTTTTGCTTACAGGAGACTTTATTGCCTACTACACAACTTCACCACCAATGTTGTGGTCTTTCCTTCCAACTTTATATCTATTTGGCATGTATCCTCCTCTAAAAAACCCTCTCAATTTAGCTCCATGTATGCCTAACTTAGGTCTCTGTTTAAAGATTTTTCCTTCTTAGGGACATCTGTTGGTCTCTGACAAATCCTTTTTTGTGTTACACATTCTTTTCCAGCAGTTACCACATTTTGTGTCATTGTAGAATTTTCATGGTATGTTCAATTAAGTTGTAGCATCTGGAAATTACTATTATTTTACTCAGTTTGCCTAGCTTTGAGTTTCCATTTTTAAGCATAGGATCTGTAATATTCTATGACATAATCGCCTTTTTTTGCAATTCAGTTACTTTCATGTTTTTATTTTTCTTCCTTATTGATATGTTCTCAGTGAATAACATAAATTCATCTTTTTAAGCTTTTCTTTTAGTTCACTCATAAGACAAATTGGTTCAAGGAGTCCTGTGCAACACCAAGACCTTAGAGATGGAGAGTGTGCAAAGCTATACCACCGCCCACATTGTGGGTGCTTCTGATTCTTGCTCTTTTTTGAGCAAGGTGTATCAACCCACATGGTTTCATCACTGGAGACACCTACACTGTCACTACAACATACTAGTTTTGAAGACATCTTTTATTTGGTTTCATTCCATTTTTTTCTATCCTTGAAGACTTTTGATTCCCTTGACTTCTCCGTCAATATATCATATTTATGCATATTCCATATAACTTTTATAGATTCTTCTTGTTGCTCTAGGATCTCATGACAGTCACAAAAGCTTTTCTGAACTTATCAATACCTGTCCTGCTATGATACAATGCCCCAGCATGGCATCGTCTGTAAAAGAGTTTTTAAAGAAACTTTATGTCTCTGTGAGATGTACTCCTCTGAAGTTGTTGTCATAGGCTTCTATTGCATCCTCCACTGAGCGTGGAAAAAGTTGGATGTGTGGATGGATGGAAGAGATTGTAGAAGACTTGTTGGAAATGCAGTTGGTCTAAACTTTCTTCTTCTCTTGTGCTCTTCCCCATTAATCTTTCTATTTCTCTTGCCCTCCAGCTCATTAGTTGGTTGGCTGGTTGGTTTCTAATTGTGCAAAGTAGAAAAGTCACGCTTGAATCATCTTCTCTTTATAACCTTAACCTGACTATGCATTCTGCTAGAAATAAAACTCATTTTCTTCCTGGTTGTATAAATAAAAATAATTTTATATTAAATATGGCTTTTGTTTTGCAGTCAAAATACTCAAATCCAATAGCTAAGAATTCAAAGGAGAAAACTGTTGCTACTTTCTAGATGGTGAGGGAAAGCTAACTTGTATTATGATTTAAAAGGATCATGAACTTAGCTTTCATTGAAAATTGTTATATTGATACACTTCTCTTGTACATATTACCTTCCTCTTTTGCCACCAAGATTTAAACTTTATTGTAATACAAGTATTGTCTACAGTATTGAGTAATTATAGGTTCCAGATTCTAGTCTACAGTCTAGAATATAGCTATTGTCAATATTAAAGTAACTTTTATAATTTTTCAAAAAAACCAACCAATTTACTCAGTAGTTGTATTTATGCCATCCTCTTGACTGCCATTTTTAATTATTTACGTATTCCATTTTCTATCCAATCTTTTCCAGTGGGACTTGGTGTGTGATTATAAGTCATTCAAATACTTTGCACAAGCCATTGCCCTGTCAGGGCACTTGGTGGGCTCTGCTCTAAGTGGCCTCATTTCTGACAGGTGAGATTTCTCTTCTGAATAAGGTTCATTTTGAAAACCCAAATATGCATTTGAAAAGACTATGTACACATTTCTATTAATAATTATATACATTAAAATAATCTAAGTATGCAAAAAATGGAAACCAAATGATAGATGGATATGTCTCAAGGAATATAAATGTTGAAAGACTGAAGTCCCTGGCACAGGCCAATAGGAGTGGAGCTTGAATTGTCCATAAAGAATCGAAAGTTCCCAGGATGGAGGTAGGTGTAAACAAACAAAAACAGGGAGGCAAAAATGTTTAAGAAATGTAGAATAACAAGTATGATTGACAAATAAAGCTTGAAAAAGGTAACCTTGAGAGATAAAGTTAAGAAGCTGTTTTTTTTTTTTTTTTGTGAGCACTGAATCTTTGTTTTCTCCTTTAATTTGGAAGTGAGGACAACCAGAAACATTTGATAACTCAAAACACTGATTGCATGCATGTTGTATTTTTTAATATGTCTAGTGTTCTTAATGTAGTGATATAGGGAGATTCATTTGTGGGTAGACTTTAATAAATTTTATGAAAAGAAGGAAAATTTTTACTACTTTGATGATTGGTCAGAAAACCATGGATAAAATTTCTAGAAACAGACTAGAGAGAAAAGGGTAAGGGAGGGATCCAGATTAATAATAAGGCAGATTTAAAACAAAAGATTAAGAATATTAATCTTAATAAGGAAGAAAATAATCCAGTTAATTCTCAAAAATATCTATCAAAGGTGAGAATTAGAATATAGAGAGGCATTAAAACTTGGAGGGTACTTACTTTGATGGAAACAGGACCAGAAATGGACAAATTATCTAATCTGAGTTCTAGTATATCTGAAATAAACAAATATGCAAATCAATAACAACCTTTACAGATACTGATATTATAAAGAAGGTGGATAAAATGTATGATCTATAAACTATCAACTGCACATTGGGTAAATGTTGTAATATAAATTCAAAAGAACTAGAATTTACTGTAAAGCATGAAAGAAGCCCACACTGTTTCCATATACTTTTGATATTTATCACTCTTGTCTATAAAATGGAAATGATAAATTCTAAATATTAGCTTTCTTATTCTTTCCATGAGTTACATGGGTAGCACTTCTAAAGAACTTACAGTGGAGATTGCACTTATAGTTCTCCAAAGAAAATATATCACTCTTGCTTTTATCAATTATGAAGAGAACAGGATAAATTTACTTTGGGGGATTGAGATGAGAAGAGATCATAACTGAAAAGATTGACTTGCCTCTATGGTAAAGTGTTCTGCTGCTCTATGGACAGATATAGTAAAATGTTATCTCACTAAGGGATAAAGATTTAAAATAATTTTTTATTGTAGGGCTGGGGAGGTAGCTCAGTGGTAGAGGGCTGGCCTAGCACGCACTGGATCTTGGATTTAATTTCTGCCACCATATGCACAAAGAAAATCATAATAAAGTTTTTATTTTGTGACCTTTTTATCACAATTTATTAAATTCCTTTGTGAGTCATACTTTGGAAACAATCATTATTTTTTAAAGAGTACTAAACAGTCTTTTCTCCCAAAGTTGGTTTGCTGATTTTTGAGCAAAGAACTAGAAAAGATAGTTACCTGAAATTGTGTGCCTTGTTTTAAAAATATATGTAAAGCATGTTTGAAAGGCAGCATCTACACAGCTTACGGAGACACTCATAGAACTAAAGCTTTTTAGGCACAGATCAATGTGGATTGATATTTTAAATCCAGTGCTCATTCTATAACAGTGAGTAGAACAAAATGTCAGTCATATGGTACCATTTGCACCTTTATACCTTTTCTGTCTTTTGGGGGGGGTGGGTTTGTGTGCTGGGGATTGAACTCGGGGGCTCTTGGCCACTGAGCCATATTCCCAGCCCTGTTTTATATTTTATTTAGAGACAGGGTCTCACTTAATTGCTCAGTGCCTCACTTTTGCTAAGGCTGGCTTTGAACTTACGATCCTCCTGCCTCAGCATCTGGAGCTGCTGAGATTACAGATGTGAACCACTGAGCATGGCACCTTTTTTTGTCTTAAAAAAAAAATCACTCTAATTATTTTGGTAAATGTATTGTGTGTAAATTCTGCTGTATTAATGGCATACAATTAGTGATTTGAACTCTAATATTTAAGTAATACACTTCTTTGTATCATCAACAGTTGAAAAAAATGAGTAAAATTATTGGTATACATAACCAAGAAATGATAGAAGTCAAGACAGACTTGAATTCAATTATTATGATTACTACTACCCTTTGTGTATACCCAGTATTTGCAGATTTGCACAATTATTTTAATACATTATTGTGTAAATTCTGTTGTATTAATGGCATGCAATTAGTGACTTGACTCTAATATTCAAGTAAAAAATAAATCTCAGTTTACTGGTCATTTCTAGAGTGACCATTATGGGGGTGACACTATGGTTGTAGTTACTTAGAAAACTAGAAACTCAGTTTTGGACGTTCTTTAGGAATGCCCTGATGACATGTAACCACTTGCTAGATTCTTCACTAACTACTGCTACTCTAGGTTTGGACGGAAGCCACTGCTGGTCTCTTGTTGCCTGGCCTATGGAATCCTGAGCACCTGCTGTGCCTTCGCTCCGGTCTTCACCATTTACTGTATTCTGAGATTCATGTCATCTGTCTGCCTGAGTGCAGTTCTAAGCAACACTTGCGTATTTCGTAAGTTGGCCTTGATTTGTGCACATGTGCTATGACAGTTTTTCAGTCATCTTTCCCAAATGGTTTTAGATATCTTCTTTTGCTTTTTCTTTCCTTTAGTTTTTGAAGGAAACTCATCAAAATGGCAACTAGTGGCTACCGTGCTTTTCTCATTATCTGGGAGTATTGGCCAGGCATCATTTGCAGGCGTGGCTTACCTTTTCCGGGATTGGCACATGCTCCAGTTGGTCATTGCCTTGCCCTATCTCATTCTTTCTCTCTTTTCCTGGTACGTGAACTTTGATGAATACAGAGCCATTTGCTTAAGTGATTATGACACATAAAAGTTTATCTCTACTGAGGGATATATTGCCATTCATTGCTCTCAGGGCCATTTTTAGGTGTAATACCCCAAAAAACTATTTAAAATTAAAAGAGAAAACTCAATTATAAAAGAATGGACCCTTTAGTAAATTTATAATAAAATTAGGTGAGCTTGTGGCTTAAAATTTTTGCTTCCTCTATCCTGTTTTTGCTTGGTTGCTGAGATCCTTCCCAGATCAGCCCACAGCAAAACATGGCTACATGAGAGACTGTGGCAGGGTGGGAAGACAGATCCTTTTCTGGTTTATGTTTAGGGGAGAAATAACATGGTCTTTTGTTTCCCAAGCACTTATTTTTGTGTTCATAAATTTTAATTAATCTTCTCAGAGATAAAATACTAGAGATCAATTAGTATATGATAATATAAAATTTTGATAACATTCAAAACTTCTAAGAACTTCAGAAGGTTCACACTGAAAAATTGAGAAACTCAGAGTCGCACATGGAAGGGGCAGTAATTTCTGAAGTAAAAATGTGAAACAGAGAAAGAAAAGAACATTTATATTTTGAATCAAGGAATCTTTACAGCTTACTCATAAACCAACCAACCAAACAAACAAACAAAAATGCAAACATTCTTCTTCCTGTTGCTGCTGTATAGAGTGGCTGGAAACAGGGTTGAAGTGTAGGTAGGGAGTTAATTAACCCCACAGTTAACCCTTTCTAAACAATGTTCTGGAAAGATTAGCGCTGTCCATGAATGAACAAGCATCTCTGTGGACTGGAATGTGACATCACCCTGCAGAAACTCCACCTGTCTCCTTTTAAACAGTGGGATCTCAGAGTCAGTCCGCTGGCTCATGGCAACCGGAAAAACAGAACAAGCATTAAAAGAGCTCCAGAGAATTGCTCGTATTAATGGAAAGAAAGAGGTGGCAGAAAGTCTGACTTCTGAGGTAAGGGAAACCTGGGTACCACTTCTTTCAATACACTTCTCTCTATCATCAACAGATGAAACAAAAATGAGTAAAATTATAGGTATACATAGCCAAGAAATGACAGAAGTCAGGACAGACTTGAATTCAATTATTATTATTACTACTACCCTTTGTGTATACCCAGTATTTGTGGATTTGCACAATTATTTTGATATTATACTGGGAATTTAAAAAGAATTGACTGGAGGCAGGTGCACAGGTATTTCACAAGTATTCATCATACTAGATATTGAAGTAAATGAAGAGTCACAGTTGTATCCATATTCTTTCTTTCTGATTCTCTGTAATAACATCTATTCTTATCATTCTCTGACAGGACATTTCCCTGCTCATGGGTTGCTCTAAAACATATTAAAATTGCTGTTTTTTTGATATCTTCAAGAGGAAGTAATATTTGAATTATCCAGGTCTCTCATGTACCTGAAGTGATTTAGGTCCCTTTAAAAGATATTGAATGAAATCTCAGCAAATTGATTCCAAAAACAGTATTTTAATTATTTACAGTTTATAGCTATCAACAATATTTTCTAGATGGAAAAGTCTAATCCAATAAAGCACGTCATGGGTGTTTTGTTTTTTTAGTGTTGTCTCCTCTCCCGTCTGCAATAAGTTAGGCTCTTATATGCATCTAATGAGTTTTGGTTCTCTTGATAGATTTATGTGAATGGTTGATCAATTATAATCATTCTCCCCGTTTAGGAAAAGAAAACCACCAAGAGGATTAATAGGTTCCTGGGGGTAAATACAATGTATAACATTTGAATGGGAAACTGATCCAATATGATGTATTAGACATATAAGACTTCAAATATTCTTGAGAGATGATGGCTGAGACCACAGGGAGAGTAGATAAAAAGCCAGATATGAATATCCCAGTTCTTGATTACACTGTAATGTTTTAAATTTTAAAAGGGATACATATAATTACTTAACTAAAAATGTTTATAAAGTTTGAATCTATAAAACTGGTCTATTGCTATATATTTCTTGAATATATAAAATCAAATTATTGTACAAATAATTATCAAAACTAAAATATATCAAAATCTCCAGTAATACAATAAAGAAAGTTAATTGAAATGCTTCAAGTATTTCACCAGGGAGGAGATTCACCACCATGAGACTACAAATGACTTTATGTAATTAATGTAATGGGATTTTCTTAACAAGAATTTAGTGGTGGTTTTATGATAATTGTGGTTCAGTTGTGAACATGATTTAGCTAATTAGAGCTCTTTCAAAAGGGTACATCGATGATCCTAACAAGCAATAAATAATCTCACAATTGTTAGACCCTTCAGAAAAGGTTTTCCACAACATTTTGTATCACTTGGAGAGAAGTTTTATAAAATATATAAGTGATATGATTTTAAATGTTCATTTAAATATTGTTTTTTTTTCAGTGATTTAAATCACCTTATTGATTGTTAGGTGCTTTAAATTTCATGCATGCCAATGTGGTTTTATAAGATAATCATTGTTTCTTTGATTCCACAATAGAGTGTTGACAGCTCCAGGGAGCAGAAGGAACAATTTTGGAAATAAAAGAACTTTTTCCTGACTCTAAATATCTTGCTTTTGTGTGTGTGTGTGTGTGTGTGTGTGTGTGTGTGTGTGTGTATGTGTGTGAAGATTTTGATATCCAAAATGAAGGAAGAATTGAATACCAAGAGAGAATCTTTCAGAATGAAAGAGATCATGTGTAAACCTGCAGTATTCAAGACAGTGCTTTTTACGTCCGTTTTAGCGTAAGTGGTTTGCTTTTTCATCTTTGAACACACATTCACAATTTGAGAATCATGCTGAGCAATTTGGGGAATGCCTGCTTTAAGGGTGCAAATCCTCCACCCTTTTAATCAAAATAACAGAAAAAGAAATGCAAAGAGGATTAGGAAATGATAAAGAAACCTATATGATGTCAAGTTTTGGAAATGGGCCTATGGAATAGTTATGATTTATAGAAACTGGAGAAATAGAAAGATCAAAATGAAAAGGCAAATGAGACCCCAACAAAGTTCTATTAAATGAGAGGAAAGAGAAAGCTGGTTTTCAGATGAATTGATCCATCTTATTTTACTACAAAACACCATAGTCCTAAGGTTAATAACATAATATTTTGAATTATATAGATACAAATTCCATATCAAGTTTTGCCAAAGGCTAATTTGGAATCCTATCCCACTTGGTTTTCAATTGTTTTAAATGTACACTTTTTAAAAATACATTGTATAGTTACATGAGAAAACCTGGATAAAGTGATGCACTGGAAGTGATTGATACATTTTACAAAAATCAATAAAGGATAAAATTGATAGCTTGATCATTTGATATGTATGATTAGCCCAAATCTGAAGATGAGCAAAATGAGAGCAAGAGAAGTTACATGTCTTCCCCAAAGACACATTGACTGTTATTGTGAACTGTTATGCTGAATCTGGCAGCTCACAGACTGAGCCCATGACTTAAAATATGGGGACCATCACTAAAAAGGGCTATGTGTTTCCCAACACTTATTATAAACATACAAATAAGTATGAACAAATACCCCTGTGTGGCTATTTGAGATCTTCTAGTATCTGAATAAAGTAAACAGGTCAGAATGGCCTGGATCAACATGATATTATTCAAAATATAAACTGAAATGTTAAAATTATTCTAAAGTTTTAAAACAATTTACCATCATTTTCTAGTGCTGTTTAAAAATAATTATGGTCTCCTAAAAACTATAGGCAATTGGAGAGAGAGTTACATCTTATCTTTGTAGTAGGTATTTTAAGAATTGACAAAAAGTATATATTAGATTAAAAAAATTACAACAGATATTTTTAAAAATTATCTTTTTGTCCTCATGTTCTGGGAAATAACTCCTCTCTCATTTTCTTGGTTGTTCATTTAGATGTATGGATGCATACTAGGTACAAGTCAATGTGTTAAGACTCAAATAATGAATCTATTTCTTACCTAGGGAAACTGTATAAATGAATTTAGAAAATCAAACTCTGAAAATATTATGATCATAAAATTCATATTCTTATAGAATATAAATTTAGTATGAAGCATGAGGTTATGTAGATATTCATGTATAGACATTGCTTATGTCTATTATTCTACTCTACTGATTTAATAAACTGTAGTGATTTGACATTTTTTGCTCTTATTGATAAATTATATGTAATAGTTGGGTTCATTTTGACATATATGCATGGAATTTAATTTACTGCAATTTAACTAGTAATTTCAAATAAAAAGTTACTAATATTTTCTTCCTAATTACAGAAAATTGATTTTTATGTCAGTTCTTTTCAAATTACAAAGATATTGTAAGTCAACATTATTTTTTAAGAGATGCAAAAATCTAGACGAACATAATGATCTATGAAATTATGAAATAAATCATCTTTTCTTTCTCTTTGTGACTAAATTATTTTCAGTTTTCATTTTGGATCTTGGAATACTCCTATCCAGATCTTAGACCAAATGCATTTTATTTTTGATAAATTGAGTTATTTAACCCCTAGCTCAATTCATTGAGACTTTGTTTCAGTGATCATTTTTTTTCAAGTTTTACTAAATAAATTCCATTGCCTTATAAATCTTTCCATTTCATTGCATACTTGGAATATTTTGATTTTAATCATTTGTGAAGGAAATACATATTTCAAACACACATGTGCTTCCATACACACACACACACATGCACACACACACACACACACACACAAGGATGTTTATTTCTGAGTATATTGAATACCTCTCTGCTTTCTCTCACAGGTTTTCAACAACATTCAGCTTCTATGGTCTCCTGCTGGATATTGAGAATTTGGGGAAAAACATATTCCTGACCCAGTTTTTACTAGGCATAACAGACTTGCCCAGCAAATTTCTTTCCTATTTTATATTAAAGTATGTCAACCGTCGCCCTTCAAGCGGTTTTTCACTCATTATTCTTGGAATTTCTATTCTGATCCCTATATTTGTGCCTAAAGGTGAGACTTTTCTGTGTTTAGAATCTCATTAGAAATGCAAGTCTTTAAACAGGGCCAAATAAAAAACAGAATTCACATTCAACGAATGCCAAGAAGAACGCTGCAGTCTAGTTTCAAAATCTAGGTGCTTTGAGGGTCATATATTGCTTAATAAATAGAGGTCCACCTTTATGGTTTCCTTGAACAGGAGCTATTACACCAGCTTTACCAGGCACTAAATATTACTGATAAAATAAAGTCATGCCTGGGAAAACTGAAAGTAGCAATATGTGCTGAGCCCCACAGCATCACGTAATTTGTTCTAATTACAAGTTGTTAGTTCCAAAGTCTCCTTAGATGGCTTCCAAATTTCGTCACTACAGGAAAGTAGGAATTTACCTGATGAAGAAATACAGGAAGAGAATACAGGTGCAGGTAGTAGTAGAGAAATACAGAGAGCAGGAAGAGAAAATATGTGCAAAAGGTATTTGGGAGACATCCTGATCATTGCACTATTAGATTATATATTTTGAGGATGTAGGAGATAGGTAATGACTTGGTTCAAGAACATATCACCTGGGGCTGGGGTTGTGGCTCGGTGGTAGAGCACTTGCCTAGCATGTGTGAGGCACTGGTTTTGATCCTCAGCACCACATATAAATAAGCAAAATAAAGGTCCATTGACAACTAAAAAAATGTTTTAAAAAAGAAGAAATATATTTTTAAAAAGAATATATATCACTTATCTTTAGTTAATAATATGCTACTGAAGTTCTTTATCAATCAAAACTGCAGTTTTCTATTTGGACAACGTCAATATGGCTGATTTCAGTGTATTTATAGAAAGAATGTAAAGCTAGAGTCACAGGCCATGGTTAGTCTTATTATATGGGAGGGACTGAAGAAGGGCAGTATCCTTAGGAATAGGAAACAGGGTATGCAGTCAAGACGTATTCTGGAGGAAAAATCCCCAAATCTTGGGAATTCACTGAAAATAAAGAATGAGAAAAAAATCAGTCAGTTAAAATGATTTTCATGTTTCTGACAAAGTTATTTAGTGAAACTGCATTTTAAAAATGCGGGAAGGGGAATAATTTGGCAAAAGTTAAGAAGGCTGTGGGGAATATAGATTTGTGTTCTAAGGATGACACATTTATAAACTTAAGTAAATCCTGAGTATATTGTCTTATTTCTGTTCTTATTGCTATTTCTATACATTGACCTCTATTGACTATCATCCATGAAGAGCAAACTCTCACACCACCACTCCCAGCTCTAATTATTTTGTAACTAGTCCTGCCAATGCCCTCTCTGAAGGGCAGCCTAAGTGTCCGAAATATCTCCGGATTCTGCTGTACCCCTTTTAACTTTTCCTTAGCCAACCTCTTCTTTGTATGAGCATCTTTATAAAGATGCTCTATGTAATATATGCTTTATAAACTATTCTCCTGATATAGTCCCTGGTAGCTAGTTTTTTATACTTTAGTTCACACTTTAAAAAACTGTAGGTATGTGTGAATAATTCTCTTTCTCAGACAAGATCTTCCAGATGTCTTTCCACCTTAGCTTCCAAGTCCCTCTTATTATCTGGTCTCTACTTTCATGTCACTTCTTCAAGAAGGCCTTCCTCCCAGCCCAGTTTTAAGTTGAGTGTCTTTCTTGGGCTCCCACATGTTTTGAACGGTCTCACCTTTGACTATCATAGACCATCACCTCTGGACTTTTCTTTGTTTCCTCTACTTGAATATAAACTCCTTTGGGACTGACCCTTTATTCTACTAAATAACATTACCAGAATCTACTGATTTTCTTGCATGCATTGTGAACAAATGACCCAGTTAAGGGTGTGTGTATGTGTACATGTATATAGTCTTGATAAACAGCCAGTTATTGTAGAAGTCATCTGAGTTGAGTCACTACAGATAAGTGGGGTTTACTTGGTAAAGAAAGACAGAAAGGGTGCACCAGAAAGAGTGTAAGAACAGTTCACATGAAGTCCACTCTCTTAACAAATTTTTACGTGCACAATAACTTATTGCAAACTTTGGAAACCACTCTGTTCAGCAGGTCTCTGGGACTTACTTAGCTTGGGTAACTGCAACTTGATAACCATGGAGCAACTTCCTGTGCCCACGTCCCCATTCCCTAGCAGCCATCATTCTGTTTGTACTTGGAAATTTTTGATTCCTAGTATATGAGGAATCAGACAGAACTTGTCTTTCTTTCTTGATTCATTTCACCTTGCATAATGTCTTCTAAGTCCATTCATAATGTCTCAAAAGAAAGAATTTATTTCTTTTGTGTTAAGGCTGAATAACATTTCATTGTATTGTATACCATATATATATTTTTTTCATTTGTTCATCTGTATCCAGATATTTGGGCTGTTTCCATAGTATGGCTGTTGTAAATAAAGCTGCAATGGACATGGGACTGTAGGTATCTCTTCATTGTTTTCATTTTGATTCTTTTGAATATATCCTCAGATATGAGATTATTGGATCTTGTGATAATTCTATTTTTATTTTTTTATAAAACCTATGTATTATTTTCCATAGCTGCAGTACCATTTTACATTCCTATCAACAGAGCACAGAGGTTCCTTTTTCTCAATATCCTCACCAAAACTTATCTTTTGTGTTTTTAGAATTGCCATCTCAATCAGTAGGCAGGTAATGTCTCACTGGGATTTTGATTGCAGTTTGCTCATGAACAGGAATATTAGTCATGTCTGCATATACCTGTTGATCATTTGCATATCTTCTTTGGAGAAATGTCTATTGAAGTCCTTTGCCCATTTTTAAAATAGGTTACTTAGAATTTCTTTCTTTCTTTTTATTTTTTATTTTTTTGGTAATTCAGTTTTAGGATTTCCCCATGTATTTTGAAAATTACCTCCTTCTCAGTTATATGATTTGATGATATTCTGTTCTGTAGGTTGCCTTCTCACTCTGTTGAATTTTCCTTTGCTGTGCAGAAGTTATTCTTTTTAACATGAGAAGCTTTACCTCATGTTTTCTTCCAGCACTTTTACACTTTCAGGTTTAAGTCTTTAATCCAGTCTAGTTGGTTTTTGCATATAATGTGAGAGAGTATGAGCTTTGCAATTCCTCTCTTTTAAGCTGTCTTACTATCTGTTTCTCTGCTGATTTGTTCAATAAAAGCCAAAATCTTAAGCTTAGAGGGCAGAGGGTACATGAAGGACAAAGTATTCTTCCCCAGTCCTTTAAAACAAAGTATGATTCCAGATAATTGCCTGTTGGTAAATACTTATGAAATATTTGTAAAACAAATGAATGAAAAAGTAAATGTTGATACAACCAATATTTTCCCCCAAATATTGTTCACAGAGATGTATGTTCTGCGCCTCACTGTTTACCTCTTGGGAAGATCATCTGTTTCTGTCCTTTCATCCATACTTTTAATCTTTTCCAACGAACTCTCAGCCACAGTACTGAGGTAAGAAAAGAAATTGCAAATATTCTATCTTGATAATTTTTGTTGAATACTGATGGAAGCTTCTAGAAGATTTAAATGAGTAAATAAAATTTATTTAAAAAGTTACTTCAGTGAATTTTGAGAATAGTTGACAGACTATGCCTGGCACATGTTTTATCAGATCAAATTATTTTGCAACATTTTCCTAACTCTCTCCACATTACCATGTATCCAAAACTCCTAGCCAAAATACAGTCCATGATTGTCTTCCCACCCTACCCCCTTCAGACTTAGAATAATAACCTACCTGAGCCTATTTCATAACCTCTTTGGTAGCTCAAAGAACATCTTTGTGCAAATTAGAAAAAGGTGCACCTTTCTAAAGTTACTTTTATCTGTAAAAACAAAATATTGTGTAGTAATGAATGGACAAAAGTATAATACTAGAACTCATATTGCACAAAATCATAACTATGGACCTGTGTCTGCCATGAGTAGAAATTCCTGTTCAAGACTGTCTTTACAATACAGGGTCATAGGTATTATGCTTATATGCCAAGCCTAATCCTCAATCCTTGCAGGAAAATACATCCCAAATTATTTCCTTTTCTGGGCGGGGAGGGAAAGCGGGAATTGAACTCAGGGGCGCTTGGCCACTAAGCCACATCCCCTGTCCTATTTTGTATTTTATTTAGAGAAAGTGTCTAATTGAATTGCTTAGAACCTGGCTTTTGCTTAGGCTGGCTTTGAATTTTTAATCTTTCTGCTCAGCCTCCTGAGCTGCTGGGATTACAGGCATGCACCACCATGCCTGGTTTCCTAAATTATTTCTATCTTTAATATAGAAGCTTGAATAATTTTCATAATCTAAGATTTTAAAAATGCAATAGCAGAATTTCAGACAATATGGCAAAGAAAACATGGAAAATAGCTATTTCGATTATTTCTTTGCAAAGTGTATTTTAAAACTTTGCTTGTTCAATTATTTATTTTGCAGTAAATCTTTGGATTAATTTTTCTATTAATGCCACACTATTTCAGTTAACCATAGAAGACTCTTCTATTAAAGTTACCAAATACTACATGCTATTTGAAAACACTTTACTATCAATTACCATTTCATGCTTTTCTATCCATCTTAAAAAAATCATCTGAAGAAATGTGTTCTTCTATATCTTAGGGGATTTTATTTCATACCATGTTTCTCCTTTTTTGTAGAGGACTTCATAAAATTCCTAGCATGATACATACTATCAATCAACAGACAAAATATGTATAAATCAACAAGTATAAATAATTGGGTTTGCTCAAAAAATTAATTTTTGAAGCAGCTTATTTTGGTATGATTTAACATACAAAATTCTGTATATATTTAATGTATTTGACTTTATGAATTTGAGGATAACTATACTTCCATAAAATGATGATCATCATGAAGGCCACAAACATATCGATCACATCCCAAAATTTCCTCCTACCTTTTGTTATCATTATTATGACATCTGGCAAGAAAATGTGACATAAGTATGCAGTGTTTTTAGGTATAGGCACTGTGCTATAGGTATTATACCTACTGAAGTAAGTGTTAGAACTGATTTATCTTGTGTGATTGAAACCTTGTACCCTTTAGGCATTGTCTCATCACCCACCTATGTGTGCTCCTGAGTGATCTGATGTGCTTTTCCCATTTTCTTTATCTTTTCAAGACTCAGTTTCAACCTTTATAAAAGTACATAAAATATGACACATATCAGAATAGAAATTTTTGTGGATATCATAAGAAAATATATGTGAAATGGCTACCCAATTTCTGTAGAGAAATAAGATGTTGATATAACTTGAACTATCAGTTGTTGAAATCACTGAGAAAATTTCTTTATTTTAAAAAATCTTATTTCCGGCAATAAATTGTCCTTTAAAATGATCAATTTGTATAAGAAAAAACTCCACATCAGTCTAATATTATAAAAGAAACCTAATGTTTCTTTCTAGGATTCATATAAAAATTTACAAGGAACATTCACATAGATTATTTAGGTTGGCTAGATTTAGTTGAGAAAGAAAAAAAAAGAGAAAGAAAGAAAAAAGAAGGAAAGAAAGAGGAAAAGAAAGGAAGAAATAGAGAAAGAGATGGAAAGAATACTGGGAAACCAATGAAATTGAAATTTCAGACTCCATATTCTTGAATACAAATGAACGCATCAGTAAGTAAATATTTTCTGATTCCTGCTTATAGTAGAATATTGTTGTTCTTTTCTGAAATTCAAATTTGTTATCTTGTGTTTTACCAGGTAACCCCAATTTTGCACTACATAACCTTTGAATTAGTGCATGCTTTCTTCATTTTATAGATGAGGGATCACCAAATCACATATAAGTTGTATTCTGTATAAAACATAGAAATGTACCTTTAAATTCCTTACAGGTGGCTGAAAAAATAAACCAGATATGTCTAAAATGGAAAAAATGCTTTATAAGGGTCAGTTAGCAACAACCAAGTAAATGCACACCAAGCCCATGGCATTGACAGCAGGGAAACCTCACTTTGGCTCTGGGTGGTCTCAGTAAGCTGCACGGAGAAATGGTGTGCATGAGCTAGAATTTGAAGAAAGGGCTGCACTCACAGATTCAAACTTTTCCAGAAAATGTTTTCTCTTTTGGAAGGTCAACGATACAGGGCATTCTCTTTTTCATCGCCAGAACAGCAGCAACATTGTCTGCTTTAGTACTTTCAACGAGGCTGTATTTTGTCCATCTTCCGGCCATCCTCTTTGGGACCTTTCCCATAGTAGCGTCAGCATTTGCCTACTTTCTGCCAGAGTCCTTTAATCTTCCACTTATTGAAACCATCAAGGACATGGAGAAAAGGTAAGGTCTATATTTATTATATATGGAGATTATCTAATATTTTTTCATAATTTTAATATTTACAAAGTGCTCTCATGAGCATCAGGACAAGTAATCTTTGATTAAAAATGTATTGTTTCTATACTGCATGTGAGAAAATGGAAGGTTTAACAGGGATAAATAAAACTTCATGGGCAAAGCCCATGAAGTGGGTCAGTGGGAACACTTGACTGAGTCTACATGAACAACTTCATTCCAAAATGAACAATACATTTGGGGGTGAAGATTGATAATGGTATTACCACTTAAATTCATAACATTGAACTCACAAAAATACATAGTTTATTGCTTCTTAGCTCCCCAAATGGAAAACCTCAAGTTTCCAGTCTCAAACTTTGATCTTCCAGATCCAGATATATGGTGAGAAATGTGAATATGCAACAAATGTAAGCAGGATATGAATTCAGCTACAAACTTTGCAAAAATTCATATTTTATCTATCCCTTGCCAATGCAAGTATCTCATATTTTTCCTTAAGATAAAATACATTGCATCTGAAGGCAGTCTATAAGTGGCAAGTATGTGATCAACTTCACATTATCCATGTTTCCAGAAAACTTTATTTCTTGTTCTGTTTAGAATTCTGATAAAAGATACATATATTTCTTTCCCAACCTATGTTCTAACATTTTAAGTCCTTTGGCTAACCCTAGAAGGCTGTTGTAACTTCATCATTGGAAAGAAGTTTGGTTTTGTGTAATTAAAACTAGAAAGAATCACCAAAATGCTCTAAAGCTGGTGTCCCAAGCAGTACTTTAAGGAAACACTGAGATAATGGTTAAAGTTTGCTAAGGGGAGGATTGTCTGTAGCCCAAGTCACTGTAGCAGTCCCTGCTTTCAATCAGGTTTTACATGAAGATGGAATCAGTGATTCATGTTTTGTCATATCTAATTTCATAGAATAGGTGATCTTTATTGAGTGGAAATAATACGCTGAAGATAAAATAGCATAGAATTAGAAATAAAAAGCTCTTGGATTTGGATTCCAAACCTGCTTTTAAGTGGCAAACTGGGTAGATTACATGAGGTCTCAGAGACATGTATTGGTCATCTTTAAAACGATGGTGCTAATTTAGTGCTCCTTGCTCAAAAGGATGTTGAGAAGTAACAACGCATTTGTAAGAGAGGCATAAACTTCACTGCAGTACAAACCAAAATTTGTTTTTTGTTTCCTCCAGATCCATTCTGGCCACTCATCTGTTTTTATTTTGCTTCTTTGATTACAGGTACGAGTTAAGAAACAAGAGCACCCGAAAAAAACAAAGAAAAGTCCTCTTGGCAACCACTGAGTGCTGAAGAGACCAGACATATACACAGAGCGGAAGAGATTCACATATTTTCACATAATCCTAAGCAACATTTTGATTGTTTTCTTTCTTTCTATAACTGTGGCCTTTGATGGACATACATTAACATACTTATTAATTAATAAGTCACAAAAATAACCCTTCAGTGAACAACCCATAATATAGATTTGAAGTTTAAGGCATAAATTAATGTTGATGATCAGGTTCCTCACATTAAAAATGGAAAATAAATTGGTACAATAGAAAGTTTTTCTTAGAATTAAATGGAAAGGGATCTGCTTAAAATTGAACATTGAAGACAAACTGTCTAAGAAAACTTTTGATTTAAAATCCATGTTTTTCATTACATATATATATATATATATGTATATGTATATATATGCACACACAGATATGTACACATGCATGTGTATTTATATATAGAAAGACCGTTGAGCATACTAATGAAAAAAACTATAGAAAAATTATTGAATATGATGAATAACATAGTCATTTAGATGCTTCAGATGCTGCTATGAGTAGTTAAAGCATAAGTCTCTTAAAAAGAACATATAATAAGTCCAGAATTTCAGTTTTTAGACACAAAATGAAAATATAATAAAACTGCAGTTGAGCAACATCATAATCATCATAAATTGAGCTCTTCTTCCCATTTTGGTAGTGAACAATGGATAAACAGATCAACTTGGGAGTCACATCAATGAGCAACCCAGATGGACAATCATGGGATGCGTATTCATCTTTCCCATCCAATGTTTCTGAGTAGAGACTGGGTTGGAAAAAAACATACCAAACCAGATTATAAGGCTTAGGTTTTTCCACATTCCAGAAAGGCCTGGGTATGTTACTTCCTTCCTGAGTTATGGTTGCCAGCCCATGTGGACCATAAACCCTCTTCATAACTTGCCTGAATTAGCTCCACCTGGCTCAAGACAGAAAACAAATAATGAACATGGATATTAGAAGCACAAGTGATGTCAAAGCAAATGTTCTGCTGAGTTCAGGAGGTATAATGAAAGATCAGAGGCTGGTTTTGCCCCTCAAGATGTAGAAAATTTGCAACTATAAACCATTTCCTGTTGTTCACAAGTTCTGAGCAATCAGGCTAGTGATGCCTAATTCCTTTAAACTAATGAAAGAATTTGGGGAAAGAGCATACTATTCTTTTGTTAATATGTGGGGGTAACTCTATTTACAAAATCCATTCTCTAAACATACTATTTTTGAGATTCACTCATATTATTATGTATATTAATAGTTATTTTTAAAAATTGCTATATAGTAATTTATTGTGTGAATATAGCACATTTATTGTGTGAATATAGTACATTTGAATTGTTTCCAGTGTTTAGCTCTTAAGAATAAAGATGACATAAACATAATTGTAAAATTAGTTTTGGTATCTACACATTCTTTTTTCTTGCATATATACTTAGTAATACATTTTTAAAGTTGTAATAAATTTGTTTTGTTTTATTAGAAACTATCAGTTTTTGCAAATGGTTTTAATAAATATACACACAACCTCATAAGATATTGCTGGCAAACTTATTGTGCTTTAGCCAAAGAACAGTACATTAAGATGGAAGAATTGATACTAGGAAAAGTAAGAAGTAGTGTGTCTATAGACTCTCTCAAGGTTTAGTATCAACAGGAGGACTTACGCCAGAAGGTTTCCTTTTGTGTTTTATTATGGTTTGAATGTTTGTCAAACCACAGTAGACCCGTGTTGACCCATGAGTTCTACTCTGTTGAAAATGAACCCAGATGGAATTTGAATTATCATTTTAAAAGTGATAGGACCTTTAATAATGCCACATGGGTGGGATTAATGGCATTATAAAAGGACGAGTTCTGCCTCCTTTTCTTTTTGACATTTTCTATTCTGCCATGTGATGATGCCTCAAGAAAGCCCTCACTAGAGGTTGGCAACTTGATATTGGATTTCTTAGTCTCCGGAATTTTGAGATAATAAATAAATTTCTTTGTGTTCTATGATGGCAGAAGATTAAGACATGGTCCAGTTTCTATGTTTACAAATTACCCAAGGAAAGATTTTGTACACAGTGTCATTACATACAATGTCCTGCTTCTGAACAAGGTTAGGCTCAAAAAAAAAAAAAAGGTGGGGGTGGGGGGAGAGGGTCAGTTGAATTGCTATATTTAACTCTATAGCAACTCAAGTCAAAGTACCATTGGACGGCTGGTCAGATCTGCCCTATCTATGATAGTCTGTCTGACCCAGGGGAGCTACTTTTGGTTATGCTTACAGTAGGGCACTGTCACCTGGATCTTTTATTTGCTAAAATGATGAAATGGTTGAGGACATGAAGAGATTGCACTTTTAGATATTTAAAGGTGATGGTATCACTTTCTGTTATTTCCTCAGTATTTGGTAATTGCTTTCAGTATTTTGATCATGGCATATGTTACAAACTGAATTGTGTCTTCTTTCAACTTATATGTTGAGGTCCTAATTCTCAGTATCTATAATACTACTGGGTTTGGAGACAGGGCCTTTGAGAAGTTAATTACATTAAAATGAAAGCTGGGATGTAGCTTAGTGGTCGACTATGTGCTTAGCATATACAAGGCTCTGGATTTGATCCCCAGTACCATCAAAAAATAAAAGTTAAAATAAAAATAAATAATTTAAAAAATTGAATTAAAGTGAGAGAAGAACTGAAATTATCCCTATTGATGATGACAGGATTCTATATTTAGAAGGCCCAAAAATTCTATCAGAAAGCTTCTAGAACTCATAAACAAATTCAGCAAAGTAGAAAAATGTAAAGTTAACACCAATACATCAATTGCATTCCTATACATCAGTGATGAATCAACTGAAAGAGAAATTATGAATCCTATTTCATTCAAAATCCCCTCAAAACCAAAACAAGAAAACAACAACAACAACAATAAAATCTTGGGAATCCATTTAACAAGGAGGTGAAAACCCTTTACAATGAAGACTCTAGAACACTAAAGGAGTAAATTGAAGAAAACTTTAGAAGATGGAAAGTTTGCTCATGTTCTTGGATAGACAGAATTAATAATGCCAAAATGGCCATAATACTAAAAGTGCTATACAGATTTACTGCACTTCCTATTAAAATTCCAATGATATTCTTTATAGAAATAGAAAAATCAGTCATAAAAATCATTTGGACAAATAAGAGGCCCAGAATAGCCAAAGCAATCCTTAGCAAAAATGTGAAGCAGGAGGTATCACAATACCAAACCTTAAATTATACTCCATAGCTACTCAGCACGGTATTGGTACCAAAACAGACATGAAGACCAATGGAACAAGATCGAGGACACAGAGACAAACCCACATGCATAGAGTTTTCTTATACTAGACAAAGGCACCATGAACATACACTGGAGAAAAGATAGCCTTTGCAATAAATGGTGCTGGGAAAATTGGAAATCCATATGTAGCAAAATGAAATTAAACCTCTATCCCTCACCCAACACAAAACTTGTCTCAAAGTAGACCTAAGCAATGGACCAGAGACCCCGTGCCTACTAGAAGAAACAATAGGCCCAACTCTCTATCATGTGAGCTTAGTAACCAAATTCCCCAACAAGATTTCTAAAGTGCAAGACATAAAATCAAGAATCAATAAATGGGGTTGTATCAAACTAAAAATCTTCTTTACAGCAAAGAGAACAATCGAGAATGTGAATAGAGATCCTACAAAATATAAGAAAATCTTTGCCACGTGTACCTCAGATATAGCATTAATCCCTAGGATATACAAAGAACTCAAAAAACTTAATACCAAAAGAACACAAATAACCCAATCAATAAGTGGCAAAGGAACCGAGCAGGCACTTCACAGAAGAAATGATTTGTCAAAAAATATACAACAAAGTGTTCAACATCTCTAGGAATTAGAGCAATGCAAATTAAAACTACACTGTGATTCCATCTCACTCCACTCAGAATGGAAATTATCAAGATTGCAAGTAACATTAAATGTTGGCAAGATGTAAGGGAAAAGATACACTCATACATTGCTGCTAAAAATGCAAATTGGTGCAACTACTCTGGAATAGAACCACCATTTGACCCAGTTATCCCACTCCTAGGTATATATATATATATAGACTTAAAATCAACATACTACAGTGACACAGTCAGATTAATGTTTACAGCAGCTTATAGCAAACTTTTGGACCATCCTAGGTGCCCTTCGACAGATGATTGGAAAAAGAAAATGTGGTATGTATACACAGTGGAATATTACTCAGCCATAAAGAAGAATAAAATTATGGCATTTTCTGGGACTATGATGCTAATTGAAACAAGCCAGTACCAAAATAACAAAGGCTGAATGTGGTTTCTAATATGTGGGTGCTAGCACACAATGAAGCAGGGGGCAAGAGAAGAATAGAATTTCATTGGAATTCCATTCAAGGGGGGAATTAAGGAAGGTAGAGGTGGGGGAATAGGAAAGATAATAGAATGAATTGGACATTACTTTTCTATGTCCATATATGAATATATGACCAGTGAAAGTCCACATCATGTACAACCACCAGAAAGGGATCCTAATCAGAATAAGTTATACTCCATGTACGTATAATATACTGTCATGTATATCTAAAAAGAAGAATAATAAAATTTAAAAAGTAAGACAGTTAGCATGTGCCCTAATATAATGTCTTTGGAATATAAAATGATGTTAGGATTTAGAAAGAGACACCAGGAATGTGCATACACAGAGAAAAAAGTCATATGAGGACTCACCTAAAAGGCAGACCAAAATGAAAGGTTGTTAGGAGAAACCAAATCTGCGAACACTTTGATTAAAAATTCCAGCCACATACAAGTGTACCCTTTTCCCCACATCCTCGCCAGCACTTGTTGTTGTTTGACTTCATAATGGCTACCAATCTTACTGGAGTGAGATGGTATCTTAGGGTGGTTTTGATTTGCATTTCTCTAACTGCTAGAGATGGTAAGCTGGTGGGACTGCA